TGTGGGGTGTGTTGGGGGGGGGGGGGGGGGGGGGAAGGAGGGATAATTTAGAAACACAAGGCTGGGAAGAGATTTAATTAGGACATTGAGCTGCTCTCTCCTGGGTGCCAGCCCACCACCCTCTTCCAGTGCTCGGGGCTCCCCTTTTCCTCCCTCGAGCATGGACAGGGCTCAAGTATGCAACTGGGTCAGTGCCTGCTTATTTCAGCGTGGCATCTGTGATTAAACTGTCTCTGAAACAGTGTTGGGATGCACCTGCGACTCCCACCCCCCCGCGCTTAGCCGTGCAAGAGCCCGGCGATCCCTGCAGGAGCTCCCGCAGCTCGTGTCGCTGGGGCTGCGTGGGCGACAGTAGTGAGCCTGTTTCCTGAAGCCTCCGAGATCATCATCATCTCGGTCCCGTTTGGTCATCTCTGGAGCTGGGCTGGGTACACCCCCTCCCCGAGCTGCATTTCAGGGCTGGGGGAGGAGGGACACAGGCTGGTTGAGTGTCTCTACCATTTAAATGATGGTGGGTAGCATCCCTAGCATCGATTTTCTTCCTAGTACAAATCCTGTGTTACTCCCCCTCTGAATTTGCGTTTCTCCTTGTCCCCCTGCACCCGTTTTGTGGGAACTCTCCTCCCGGGGCACAACAAACCAGCGCTGTCCTGGTAGCTCCTCTACCAGTCCTCCCAGTCCGGCAGCGTCGCTCCTGAGGCTCGGCCATCCCTGGCCGCTGCCTGCCCACTCCCACGCTGTTAAGTGGGGGATTATCATCCAAGGATCACATTAACCCTCTTAGCCCAGCCCAGGAGCACGTGTGCCGGTGCTAGTCATGCCCCGTGGCCCCTAAAGCCCTTCCAGGTTCCCGGAGCCCCAGCACTGGCCGTTACGCTGCTGACCTACATACTTCACTGGTGCGTTGTAATTAGATTGACTTTCATGCGGTCCAGCTAGGCTGATTAGACCATTTCCATGAGTCCCAGAAAATATGATTTTTTTTTTTCCCCCAAAAAAACCCTAATTTGGAGAAAGATACCCCTATGGCAAGTCGGTGTAATATCAGCGGCAGCAAACTGCTGTCTCCCTGTGCTCTATGAAATAGGGTTTTGTGAGCTGCGCACGGGGGTGGTTTGTTTTTAAATCTGGCTGGATCACGCGTACGGAGGTACAGATGGGGGAGCTGGTGTTTTTTTTCTCCTACAATTACAGGCTGCCATCTTAAAGCACTGCTGGTGGTGGTCGGTCTGGATATTTTTTTTTTCCTGCCGACACAGTTTTCAGGAACAAATCATTGTAGGAGGGCTCCCTTGGTGGCAATGGCTGCTGACAACCCCCCTTTTTTTTGTGTGCCTTAACGGGTAGACAATTTAAAATCAATTAATACATGTTCTGCGCCTGCGCAGGGCATGTTACTGCAATAGGATGGTGTATGGCACGGATGAACCAACCAATTTTGTAATCCTATTTTTAAAAAAAACCACAAGTGTGCTTGAGAGGGCACACTCCCCTCCCAGGCTGCCGTTAATTACGTTTCAATCCTTTAATTCCCTGCCAGCCACGTCCCCGTCACTCCCTGCCTCTCCCCGGCCGGTGCTGAGGGGTACCCCATATCCACACTTGCTTTTTATGGCGCAGCCTAGCAGTAGTTTCTCGGCATTTTTACAAATGTTCGTTTTAAATAGATTAAATATCAATGCTTACGAGGCTCATTCAACAACTCTTAGGTCTTTGCCAGTTTAAAAGGCCGACCGAGAGCCCACGCTGGGTGAGCCCGGCCCCGGCGACAGTCCAGAGTGTTTTGTGATGTGACTTCTATCGACTTTCCTCCAAAAGAGAACATAAAAGTGTCTTGAACCTCAGCCTGTCCTGCTTTGTTAGGACTTTTACTGCTCTTCCCCAACCGCGCGCTGGGCTCCCTCGCTCCTGATCTATCACTACGGTTCTTTCTGCTTGCCTTTATCCTGCTGACAATGGATTTATTGCAAATTAAAAGCTGACAATTGATACGGAGAGTTAAGTCTAGCTGCTTCCCTGGATACCTGTTGAATATTTTATTTTTTAATAAAGAATGACTTTGTTTTCATGGGAAGGAAACTTCCTTAGTGAGCAATAATGGTGAGGATGGGGGTATCGATGGATTATCTCAAGTGACTCATGCTTGAATTCCCATTATTTGCACTGCTTCACAATTTCTCCCATCCATTCAGCTCATAACCCTTGGCAGCTTTAGTGAACCTGCCCTGGTGCTGCTCAACATCTTCCTCGCTGTTGACAAAGGGGTTCAGGCCCATCTGGGTGAATATAGTCATATTTGTGTATCTGTAAATCTCAAGTTCCAGGCTACCTCTGCACGGCTGCCCCAGCCCCTGGGGGGGGGGTCCCAGTTTCTGTGGGTCCGGCCGGAGCCAGTCCTCGTGAACAGCACACCCGTGTCAGAAGAGCAAAGCTGCTCTCGGCGGTGCCCGGTGGGCCCGGCCGGGCGTTGTGCAGCTCGCGCACGCCAGCCCTGCTCCGGAAGCACGTGCTGGCGGCTGGGAAGCCGGGCTCAAAAGCAGCTGGGAGGCTCCCGGCACGGTGACTCGACTCGCCAGAAAGCAGCTGCGGGCAGGGTCTGCACGCCCCGGGCAGGGTCTGCACACCCCGGGCACAGCCCGCTGCTGCCCTTGCAGGGCTCGGGAGGAATGTGGCTGCACGGTGGCAGCGGGTGGCACAACTCTCCCCTTCCTCAAGCTTTCAGGGGGCTTTCCTGAGCATCTGGGTGAGCAGCTTCCCCATGTGGACTCTTGAGGGGGACACACAGCACAAACAACCAGAGCCATCACAGAACCAGTATTTATGAGGGTGACGGGAGTCAGCCCGTTGCTCACAAGCCACTACACAGAGGTGCCAAGCAGGAGCACAGCGCGGTGGGGACGCGCTGCTCCGTGGGCAGCGGCAGCAGTGCAGGGGCAAGGCAGGACGCGGAGCAGCGCTGGCAGACAGAGGGGTTCACCGGGGAGCCGGCGCATCGTACAGAGACCTCCCCATGGCCCCTCTAGGACCCCCCCAGGGACTGGCCAGCAAGAAGCAATGGGACTAGCCTGCCCACGGTCCCCGGCTTCTCACAGGATGCAGACGACGTTGCACGTCCAGCATGGCTGCAGGGAGCAGGGTGTCCACGCTGCAAGGCCTGGCAGTTCGGCAACCTCGTGCTCGACTGATTTGTTTCCTCCATGTATTTCTTCCAAAACATGCTAAAGGCCCCTTCCCTTCCATTTTAGGCTGTCCATGGGCAAACCAGCCAGGGGTGGCTGCAGCAGTGCTGCTGGGGACTCCCCCCACAACATGGCAGCTGGGGTGAGCCCCAGAGCATGGGGATGCTCGCCCGGGAGGGGGCAATACTGAAAAGCACCCGCAGAGCCTGTCCCGAGCCACAGAGAGCCTGGGAGGGGCATCACGGGGGGCTGAGCCCCCCACGCTGGGGCAGGCAGCAGTGCAGGCTGTGCTGCTGGGGCGCAGGGGAAGGGGGGAGCCGGCTCCAGGCAGGCCCGCCCAGGGATCCTGCTGGGGACCTCTGGGGACAAGGCAACAAATCTGGGGTCCTGAGCGCCCACACCCACCTGTGGGCTGGGGCAAGAGCCTGGCCCTGGCATGACCTTCCAGCCGGGCTTCCAGCCGGGCACAGCCCCCAGCCCACCCTGAAACAGCCGATGCCAGTGGCCAGGAAGGGGGCGCTGGGCTTCTACCCCTC